TCTTCTTTGTGGAAGCCCCTGAGTTATTGGAACACTGCTATCATGTCCCCCCTCGTCCTTCTCTTCATTAAACTAAATATACCCAATTCCAGCAACCGTTCCTTATACAACCTCCAGTCCCCTGATCATCTTTGTTGCTCTTCTTTATTCTTTCTAGAGTCTCAACATCTTTTTTACACAGTGGTGACCAAAACTGGATGCAGTATTCCAAGTGTGACCTTACCAAGGCATTGTAAAGTGGTATTAACACTTCATGTGATTTTGATTCTATCCTTCTGTTAATGCAGCCTAGCTCTGTGTTGGCTTTTTTGGCAGCTGCAGCATACTGCTGGCTCATATTTAAGTGATTGTCCACTAGGACTCTGTCACAGTTGCTACTATTGAGCAAGGTACAACCTATACTTTACAACAGACATGTCAAACTCGCTACATCACGTGACGTCGTGAGACGTATTGGGAGAGTTTTGCCATTGCAGGCAATGGGGTGGGCACGGCTTCTGGATGATGCATCCAGCCCACGGGCCGGCAGTTTGACACCCCTGCTCTACAACCTATACCTGTGCATTTGGTTTTTCTTGCCTAAATGTAGGACCTTAGTTTTTTCACCATTGAATTTCATTTTGCTAGATAGTGTGCAATGTTCAAGTCTGTCAAGATCCTTTTGTATCTTAAGCCTGTCTTCTGGAGTGTTGGCTATTGTTGCCAGCTTGGTGTCATCTGCAAATTTGATGAGTTCCTCATCTATCCCTTCATCCAAATCATTGATGAAGACATTGAAGAGCACTGGGCATTAGACCAAGCCTTAAGAACAAATGTGTATGAGAAGACAGCAACAGACAGGACATGCCATCTTTGCAAAGAAGCTGAAGAAATAGTGGGCCACCTAGTTAGCTGCTGCAAGACGACCACATAGACGAACTACAAATAACCACATGACAAAGATCTGCAAGAAATACCATTCGTCTACAAACAAGAGCTGGTGGGACCATAAATAGACCCAATAATAATAATAAAAAATGAAGTAGCTAAGGTGCTCTGGGATCTTAGAATTCAAACAGGCAGGACCCTATCACATAACACCTTAACCTCAACTTAACAATTGTCAATAAGAAATACAAAAAAGTCTGGGTAATAGATGTTGCAGCATCTAGAGACAGCAGAATAGAAGAGAAAGAATTGGAGGCAAGCACAAAATGCAAAGACCTACTACAAATAGAAGTAGAATTACTGTGTCAAAAGGAGGCAAAGATAGTACCAATAGTGATAGGTGCCTTGGGTACAACCTCAAAGCATTTAGAACACTAGAACAGCATCAGCATTGACAAAATCACCATCAGTCAATTGCAAAAAGGAGCTTTACTTGGAACAGCTTGCATCATGCAACAATACTTTTATGTTGTTGTTAGTTGCAAAGTCGTATCTGACCCATCAAGACCCCATGGACAACGTTCCTTCAGGCCTTCCTGGCCTCTACCATCTTCTGGAGTCCATTTAAGCTCACTCCTACTGCTTCAGTGACTCCATCCAGCCACCTCATTCTCTGTCGTCCCCTTCTTCTATTGCCCTCAATCTTTCCCAGCATTAGGCCCTTCTCCAGTGAGTCCTTCATTCTCATTAGGTGGCCAAAGTACTTGAGTTTCAACTTCAGGATCTGGCCTTCTAAAGAGCAGTCGGGGTTGATCTCTAGGACTGACCGGACTGACCAAAAGGCAATACTTTTATACCATCAAACAAAATCTTCTTATCCCAGGTCCTTGAGAAGGATTCAATAGGAGGATAAAATGCCAACCCCAATGTAAAGATTTGGCAGACTGTGATGTACTATAATAACAGTAATACATTGTTGATAAGAAATAAATAAAAAGGTATGAATAGTGAATGTGGCAGTACTTAGAGACAGCAGGGTAGAAGAGAAAGAACTGGAGAGAATAAGAAAAATACTAAGACCTGCAAATAGTAGAGTGACTGTGGCAAAAGGAAACAAAGACAGTAATAGGTGCTTTGGGTGCAATCCGAAAACATTAGGAGCCCTACTTGAACACAACTGGCATTGACAAAATCACTGTCAGTCAATTGCAAAAGGCAGATTTACTTAGAACAGATTACATCCTGCAACAATACCTCTTAACACCATCAAAAATCAGCATCTGCTTCTTTCAAGTCCTTGGGAAGGGCTTGATAGGTAGGATAAATGCAAATCCAGTCTAAACATTCAGTTGACTGTATGGCCAACCATAATAAAAATACCCAGGAAAGAAGTTTCTTGGATGATTCTAATAAAATATAATCAATAAAGTGAAATCAAAATAGTGTAAAAAACACACCACGGTACTTAGGAGATCTTTAAACTTGTTTACAGTTATAGAAAAACAAGATCCCTAAAATATATTTTTGCAAGTCAGTATTTAGCCATTTTCTGATTCAAAATTTGTGAACAGAAAACTAATATTTAAGTCTCTTTGGTGTCCTCTCCTCATATAAAAGACTGCTTTTAATATCTGTTTTGTCCATTACATATTCAAGATCCAACAGACTAAATTAACCTATTGCTGTAGTCATAGTTTGTAACACTGTGAAAAAATATTTTTAAATCGATGCAATACTTTCTTTAAGCCATTAGGTGGGACTATAAACATGCAAAAGAAGACTGCTTACAACTTGGTTTAATCTACTTTTTTATTAATCGGGGCACATTTGTCCAGATCACAGCTATTTAAGCTAAAATAGGACCTGAATTAAATGCAATCTAAGTTTATTATTTTATACATTCATTTATCAAAATGCAAAGTATATTGTGTACTCTTTGCTCTATAGCAGAATAGCTAGCAAATAAATACAAAGACATCAATTATTATCCATATTCAGTAGTCTAGTTATTTAAATATTTTTAACTCCAAGGATCCTCTTGAGACAGCGCAAACATGAAATTCGAGCTAACAGTCCTGGATTCCAGTCTGGGAATTCAAAATACGCTGAACTGGAACTATTGCTAGTTCTCTCCCTCCCGCCTCCCGTCTGTAATGTCTGTTAAAAAAAAAATCCTCTGAGTAGCAATTAAATATGATTGTACTTGACACTGTGCAACAAGGAGTTTAAAATGACAAACTCCTAAGGAAGCTTAGCTCAGCTTTTCCCTTATGCCCAGCCCAGTTGTGTGGAGATCATGACAATAGCAGTCATAGCTCACCAAGAGTGCTTGTGATGGGGGAAAACTTTCTTACTTAATCCTAATTATTCCTGTAATGGAGCCATGAAACTATTAAACAGCAGCTTCATTTAATCCTTGCAACGTTATCACCTATAATGCATGTATCAGTGATGTTATCCAGGAACAACGCATAATATGACATGCTGCAGATTATTGTTATTGCTGGATTTTCTCCATCCGTTAAGTAGCTCTGATTGGTTATATGCCATCAAGTCTCCACCCTAGTCCCCAGCCTGGCCTCTGTCTCTTGCCTTTCATCTTTCCCAGCGTCAGTCTTCTCCAGAGAGCTGGGCTTTTGCATAACGTGTCTGAAGTTGAATAATTTGAGCCTGGTTATTTTTGCCTGGAGTGAGCAGTCTAGGTTGAGTAGTAGCACTAATTAACTGTTTTTATATTACTCAGATCAGATGAAGAAGAGACTAGCCAGTCACTTGTCTGAAATGGTATAGGTTCTCCTGCTTGAGCAGGGGGCTGGGCTAGAAGACCTCCATGGTCCCTTCCAACTCTAATCTATTCTATCTAAAGGTTGCAGTCCTCAATGCTCTTTCCTGAGACTAAGCCTCCCTGAACTTTAGTGTAATCCTGGGTAAAATTATGCTGTGTATAAATTTCTTTGCAATGAACATGAATGGGATATTTTACTGCAAAGACATAATGTGGCTCCTTTTTTTTGGCTTCAAAATGACTCTTTCCCCCCTTTCAGCTCTCTTTTCTTCCTATCCTACATTGTTTTGACAGAGCACTGTGAGTTGATTCTATCGGTAAAGGCTAGCATTCCCCCCTTCCTCCCCCTCCCGTCTCTCTCTCTCTCTCTCTCTCTCTCTCTCTCTCTCTCTGCGTGTGTGTGTGTGTGTGTGTGTGTAAAACAAAACTCATTTTCACCTTAGCTCAGTTTATTCTGCACTGCTCTTAAGGACAACAATGAACTTGTTAGAGAGGCAGCGTTTAGCAAGTTACTCAAACAAACTCTGGGTTTAGGACGAGGGTGAAAGTTAAATGAATGGCCACAACCAGCGATTGCTGCCGCCGGAGACAAGGTGCGGAGTTTGGAGGTTTTTCATCCGGCGGATTGAGCAGTGTAAGCTTTCCTGGGGAATCGCTGTTGGTCCAGGAAGAGCTGTCTGAGGCAGTCTCGTGGTGTGTTTCTCCTTCTGCAGCTGGTTAAAAAAAAAAAAAAAAAAAAAAAAAAACCGAAGAAGGAGAACTGAACGAATGAGTCCCACCCACTCTAGGTCTGCTTTCTCAAAGCTATATTCCTTTAAGATGATGTAATAGCAATTTCCCTGGATGGTTTCTTCCCTGCACTGCTGAAACAACAGCATCTGAACTGCACTGGGAACTGTGGAACCACCCAGCTCAGCAACCAGAGCAGCAGCTTAGATAGTGAAAGCAGCAGGAGCAGCTTCCCTGGGCAGCCTTTCAAACTGCTGCAGGTCTGCACTCTCAGCCTAGCTGAGGACATGAGAGGCTCTCTGTGGAGAGTGATGGAGAAGGGGACCACTCTGGGATGGTGCCCCTGAAAGATGCCGGGGGGTGTTCTCAGCATCTGGGCTTTCTGCAAGTCATCAAAACCACATTCTCTCCCCTCCTAAAGGATCCTGACCTGGGATTTGTGTTGTTTTGTCTGTTCTGCCTCGTCTCTTGCTACACAGCTCTATTTCTCTTCAGTGCCTATTCCTGGTTAACTTTTGCATGTGTGGGTTTAACTCTTAACTTCTGCCTGGATCTTGCCAGATGGACTCAGCTTATCTTCTCTGACCCTTTTTCCTCTTCGGATTTGCTGCTTCTCTAGTTTTCAACCTGCCACAACCACAGTGCTGCTTCAGGAGCTGCTTAGAACATGTTGTTGCTGCCCTTCGGAAGAACAGCATGCATCAACGTAACCAAGGTAAGGAGATTCTCATCTCCTTTAAATGAGAATCGTGGGCAACATCAACTGTGCAGGGACCAGTTAATGCCTTTTCTGACAGGCAAAGAAATCCAAAGGAAAAAGGATTTAATAAGCAAATGTTCCCTTAAAGGGGTGGCTGGGGAGCTTTCGTAACTCAATTGCTTTTTATTCTTTCAATCTTTTTTCTCCATGCATAGGGGGATAATGATGTTCTATTTTTCTTCTTATTCAACAGGCTCTTGTGAATAACAGGGATCGTGAGTTGGTCATACTATTTTGGGCTTTAGTGGAAGATTATTTGATTGCCTCTTGTGACGTGAGCTTTCTTCATCCACCAGTTTTTACGATCATCCTTTCTAGGAAAAACTGAAAAAGACAACAACAATAATTCCACATCTTCCTTTCCATTTTCCCTCCCCCCCCCATTCCCGCAGATCCCAAGCTCCTTAAATGTTAGGAGATCCTTGGGGGAACGGATCTCGGCACCTTGTTGAAACCTTGGGTGTCAGTGGGAGCTCTGCCATAACTTTTGGTTGGTTGGTTTTGAAAGTACCATGGCCTTGAGTGGAAACTGCAGAACGTACCTCCCTCCTAGAGAACAAGCAACTGCTGCACAACCCTTCCCAGAGGTGATAGAGCTGAACGTGGGGGGCCAGGTTTACTTCACTCGCCTCTCCACCTTAACAGGCCTTCCGCACTCCCTGCTGTGGAAAATGTTCACTTCCAAAAGAGAGACAGCCAATGACCTGGCCAAAGATTCCAAGGGAAGGATTTTCATTGATCGAGATGGATTCCTATTCCGTTACATTCTGGACTATCTCAGGGACAAGCAGGTGGTCCTGCCCGATCATTTTCCAGAGCGAGGAAGGCTGAAGAGGGAAGCCGAGTACTTTCAGCTCCCAGATTTGGTCAAACTTCTGACGCCCGATGAGATCAGGCAAAGCCCTGATGATTATTGCCATAGTGACTATGAGGAGGTTTCCCAAAGCAGTGACACAAGAATATGTGCCCCTTCATCTCTCATGGCCTCGGAGAAAAAGTGGGGCTTCGTTACCATTGGCTACAGAGGTTCATGCCCCGTGGGCAGGGAGACCCAAGCAGATGCCAAATTCAGAAGAGTCCCGAGGATTTTGGTTTGTGGCAGGATTGCTCTCGTCAAAGAAGTTTTTGGAGAAAGTTTGAATGAAAGCAGAGACCCGGACCGAGCTCCTGATAGATACACCTCTAGGTTCTACCTGAAGTTCAGGCACCTGGAACGGGCTTTTGATATGTTGTCAGAATGTGGATTCCACATGGTAGCCTGCAATTCCTCTGTGACGGCTTCTTTTGTCAATCAGTATACTGATGATAAAGTGTGGTCCAGCTACACAGAATATGTCTTTTATCGTAAGTACAAACAATGTCTGATATCGGTTCAGTTTGATATCGGTTCAGTTTGCTTGAAGTCTGCTTCTTTTGAGGGTCCCCCTGTCTAGTTTGTACATCACTCGCTGTCTGTGCTTTTAATTTGAGTTTTATTCTAGCAAAACAGGGTCCAAGGGGGATAAGTTTAGAACAAGTCTTTTGAACACACAGATTGACTGTAAATTCGGTGGTACGGTCTTGGCTAGGTGGCAGCACAGACTGCCAGAATTTCTGGATCCTCCTTACATCCAAACGCACATTCAAAGACAGAGACACTACTATCTCTTTTATGTTAGCTATTTAATTGGATTGTCTGATGTGTTACCTGAGAATTCACTTACTGCGATCAGAGCTCACAAAAAGGGTCTGCTGATTTAATTTACAGCAAATTTTCAAATATGATTTAATTTGGGGGGAGCTTTGGACTAATCATGCACAGTCAGCAAAATCCATCTGTCAACAATTTAACTTGTTTTCACACAGCGGAGGAAAGCAAAATCTACTCCTTCCATCCCTTTTCTAAAGGGAGCCTTTTTCTTAAAGATACACATTTTAAAATAGTGACTGGTTGCTGAAGAATGATATTCCAATAATAATTCTGACATAAGGAGCATTGCTACTTTGCTGGCTTTAAGGGGTCTCATCAGTTATCTGATATAATGTTTTGCTGTTTTTTTTTCTGACAACAATATAGTTTGATTCCATTACTGTATATATATAAGTATCTGCATATATTTGATCCTCATCAAAATCAGATTTTCGATTTCTATGAATAACAGTATGAAATTGAATTGCTTTTCCCTGTTATTCTGCATTTAAATGAGTGCTTGTAGTATTGAAAAGTAATACAGAAATTGCAATGTTGTTCTTATTATGGTTCAGTAATAAATGCTAATACTTGAATTAGTAACTTAATTGGAAATGTAATTTAAAGGGATGCTTATGTTGGGAAACTTTACGGCATGTTTTACATTAGAATACTTAATGTACTTTAATGTTAATTTATATAAAGGCTTTTCTTTGCTAAAATCCTCTGATCTACTCTATTTTTGAAAGTAATGAACAAAAAACATATGTATATGATTGTACATGGTTGATTATTGGTGATTTTGCTTGTTTTAGAACAGTTGGATTTCTTATTTGTATCTATATTAGGCAAATGAGAAAACATTAGGGATTGCCAATGTAGTTAAAATCAATGATATTCATGCTGTTAATTAGCTTCTCATTTTCCTTTTGGATTGTTGTTTTAAATTTTAGTATTTTCTTTTTCTGACTTCTTTTTAAATATTGAGTTTTTTTAATCTATATGAAACCACTGGTTATCGAGAGCCTTGAAGTACAGTGATGACTCTAAATCTTATCAGATTCAGGAGAAGAGGAAGTATTGGTAATGGAACAATGTCTCAGTGCCAATTAACAAAGGCTGAATCCTATTAAATGGAAATAGATTACACTGTTGGTTCATAGATTCATGATTTACATAGGTCTATGACTCTGGATGATGTATACCCCTGTCCCTCAAAACACAAAATAGTCCCCTAGCTTTGATGCACCATTGGGTTCATCTCTGTCATTCAGAATAGCATCAATGACCCAAAGTCCTTTTGGTCAGTTCTGACAGATTTAACAGCTATGACCTCCCTAAATCCTGAACAGGAGTTTTCCCCAGTGATCCATATTTTGTTAATTTTTCATTTAGATTACTCATGATACATCAAGGGACCTGCATGCAATAGGTTCTAGAAGATGATTGCAAAGTTGTAGCTGATTTCAAAATTTTAATGATGTACAAGGTTTTTAACAGTTTAGGAACTCATACCAAGGAGAATCCTCTCACAGTATAGTATGTACATGGATAATAAGTTGGTAGGTAGTGATGGTGGTGGTAGCAATGGGGCTGTTAAGTATGTTATGAGCAGGGCTTTTTTTGTCATAGAACGCCCAGAACGGAGTTCCGGCACCTTTTTTGGATGGAACCTTGTAGGGTAGGCAAGGCGGGTTGTATAACATGTGTGAGGGCCGGCACCTTTTTTTTTAAACAAAAAAAGCACTGGTTATGAGACTATATTGTATTATACATGGGCACAAGAGTGGGCCTTTTCAGTTATGGCACCCATAGCTACAGTATATTTTCGTTATGGCATCCATAGCAATACAGTATATTGTGTGTGAATTTAAAATATTCACACCAAACCCTAAAATGGCTCAGAACCGAAATATCTGAAAGATCACTTCTTCCAATGCTAGTACATCAACTAAGAGACAGATACTTGTGATTCAAAAGACTAGTGGCTGGCAGTAGATACTATCACTTCATTGATGGAACTATCTTAAAGGAAGTATTGGTTTCCTTCACAACATATCACCCAGGCATATTTCTATAGATTGTTTTATTTAAGTTTTTGTATATATAAAAAAACTGAGCTTGTTTTGTTTTATACAAAAACAAAAGCTTCTCTGAGAGGAAGAACAATGCTTACATAAGTATGATTTACTTACTAACAGATTTCATAATAACCTTTCTGTTTAAATGTTAAAAATGGTTCTTCTCTTCCCCCATTTCTTAAAATATGTGGAACAAATAATTGTTTTGATCAGTTTTTGCAGTGCTCTCTTACATAGACAGCATGTATAGACGGGTACGTTTGGACATTTGGTACTATAATTCACATCATCGATGATTGATGGTGCTGTTGTTGCAACTTGTCACTTGGTGTCATGAAGGGATGGGCTTTCTCCAACTGATCTATCTCCCCCAGGTCATCAATGCAAGGACATAGTCATACTTGGATTTAAGACTTTTCTTCATTTTTCTTTTTCCTTACTCTTATATCTTTCTTTTCTTCTATGGCTCTTAAGGTAGCATATATGTGATGACTTCACAATTTATCTGTACAATGATAAGTTTAGTTGAGATATAGGGACTAAGTTTTGGTAGTCCAGAGGGTTCCATGTTAAATCTAACCCCAGCCTAATTCTCTAAGCACTCAATATTTCATTGGACAAGGAACATTTTATAACAATCATAACTGTTGGAAAACTTTTCAGTTAGGTCTCAGACTGGGGACATAGTACAGAATCAGCATTGATCGTGTTTATTGATGACTTCTATGAGAATGAGATAGTGGTGGTATAGTTGTTCTGGTTCTCCTTTATCTTTTCAGCAACCTTTGATATTATTCATCCAAGTCACATTATGTTTTGTGTTCTCTGAATCAAACCTTTGCTGTTTTTAATTCTAAATGGGATAGTACTCCTTCAGATGCAACTAGTATGACATTTGGGCTGGGACTCAACCCCCCCTCCACCCCCCCACTTAAAGAACAGGTGATTGCTGTTGCTGGGGTAGGGTGGGGACTTTGCTGGAATACATTTGGTGTGATAGTTACATCCTTTCTTGGACTGGGAATACAATCCAGTGGTCACTCACATCTTCAACAACTTTTGTGTGGACTATTGCAATATACAAGATTGGGATGCCATTTGGAAGCTGCAGCTGATCCAGAACAGTGGTGTGGGCAGAGGTGTTATCTATGGAACATCTGGGCAATTGCGTCCTAGTCAGTTGCCAAGCGCAATTAAAGGTGCTGGTTGTGATCTACTGTATAAAGCTGTTCTTAGCATAGGACCTCTTTATCTGAAAGACCACCAATCTCTCATTCATTCTGCCCATCCAATAAGTTCTGACAAAATGGATATGCTTCAGGTCCCATCTTTAAATCAGTGTCATCTGATAGGACTTTGGTGGCATACTTTTACTCTACCTAATCTCCCCTTTGGAATACTATCCCTCCAAAGGTCTGACTTGTCCCAGCCATGCTACTTTTGAAGACTTAGCTGCTCCCCCAGTTGCCAGGTAATGTGTGCTGCTGTGACAATATTATCAATATGTTACTTTCCTAGTTATCCATTTCCCTTATTTCAACTGTTTTGGATTCTTTTTTATATTTCATATGCCACCCAGAGTTGCTTTGAGTTGAGTGGCCCATACATCACATTTATCAATCAGTCAGTAAATTAATAACCAGAATGGGATTTGAGGGTCATAAAAAGTGCTGTAGGCTTTTCACCCTTGTAGATCAGAGAGACGTATATAAAATGCTACTGCTTGTGTATTTGTTGAGAACAATTATCAAATTCTAAGCCTCAGTATCAGTTTCTGTGTGCCAATAATTCTGTTTGTGGCATAAAGGTTTTCTGACTCATCATTCCAATTCTGAATGAACTCGATGTTTGTCAGGACTGAGGAGTTAAATGCTCTTATCATGCTCTATTTATTGATAAATTGTGGATGGACACTAAACACTAATATTTGTATATTACCTTAATATGAGCATAAGGCCATTCCAATTTTCAGGGTGGGTTGAACACTGACATTCTGGCTTAAGTGTTATCTTAGTACTTCATACTTCTTAAACAGAAGACAGATCCTTTTATAGCCATTTTATATCTTAATACAGCAGTCCCCAACCTTTCTGGCTCTGAGGACCAGCAGTTGTGGCAGCACCAAGTGGCAGTGGCAGTGGGAGGGGGAGGGGATGGTTTCAAGCATGCAGCCTAATTCTGCACATGTGCAAATGGAGCTTTGAGCATTATCCGCTGCTTGTGTGGCCTGGTTCCCAAGGATCCACAGACTGGTAGTGGTCCATGGAACTGGGGGTTGGGGACCTGGTCTTAATATACCTTTTAATTCAACTGATAATATTTGCTACATTTTCTTTCAATTTTCTATATTATTCTTGCAGTCTTATTTTGAACTGAACAGTACCTACAAGATATACTGTATGATGTGGTATCTCATGAGGGAGCATCTAAGGCAGGGGTGTCAAACTGATGGCCGCGGGCCAGTTGCATCATACGGAGGCCACACCCACCCCAGTTCCGGCAATGCAAAAAAAGTCGCGATATGTCACGACACGTCACATGACGTGGCGAGTTTGACACCCATGATCTAAGGGATTTATTTGTTCTCTCCTATT